TCTCCATTCTACCTGGCCCTAAACTTACAACATTCAATATCACTTTATTTTCAAGAATCTCCTCAAAGCCTCCTTCACCTCCTTATTCCTCAGGCTGTAGATCAAGGGGTTCAACATGGGAGGCACCACGGTGTAGAGCACCACAGCCCATTTGTCTCCTACTCTTGAGCTGTTTGAGCTGGGGTTTAAGTATGTGAAGAAGGATGCCCCACAGAAGATGCTGACAGTGGTGAGGTGGGAGGTGCAGGTGGAGAAGGCTTTGCGCTTGCCCTCGGCTGAATTGATGCTCAGGATGGTGGCGATGATGGCAACGTAGGAGAGCAGGGTAACCAGGCTGCTGGACACACCAAAGAGAGATGCTGCAGTGGTCAGGATGATGTGGCTGAGGGTGGTGTCAGAGGTGGAGAGTGAGATGAGAGGGGAAATGTCACAGAAGAAGAGGTTGATGGTGCTGGAGCTGCAGAAGGACAGGGTGGACATGCTGATGGTCTGTCCCACACCATTGGTCAGCCCCACGAAGTACGAGGCAGCCACCAGCTGGAAACAGCACTTTGGGGACATGACAAGGGGGTACAGCAGGGGATGGCAAATGGCCACGTAACGGTCATAGGCCATCGAAGCCAGCAGGAAGTATTCAGTTATCCCAAAGAGATCAAAGAGGAAGACCTGAGCCACACACCCAGCATAAGCAATGCTCTTCTTCTCTGACATCAAGTCAACCAACATCTTGGGGGTGATGATGGTGGAAGAACAGAGGTCTACAAAGGCCAGGTTGCCCAGGAAATAATACATGGGGGAGAGGAGGTGGGGGCTGGCCCTGATTAAGATGATGATGCCCAGGTTGCCCACAGTGGTGACAAGGTAGGTGAGCAGGAAGAGCAGGAACAAGTAGACCTGAGTCACCGGGTCCTCTGTGAACCCTGCCAGGCTGAACTCGGTCACTTGGGTGCAATTGCTTTGTGCCATGGGCTGGATGGTGCTTTGTGTGTGAGCTCCTGGCTGGAGGTTTCTTCTCCAAGAGGCAGGGATGTCCCAGGTGGAAAAGCCTCTGTGTTGGGAGCTGCTCAGAGACAGTCCTGCAGGATGGAAAGGGAGAGTTCAGGCACAGCTCAATGAGGGACAGGTTGGTGAAAGTCGTGTGCCAGCACAGGTAGAACAAAGGGGTGCTCAAGCAGTTAAACACCATGGCACAACGCGGTGCCTGCTCCTCTGGCTCACTTCTGGATGTTGAGCAATGACCCCTGTGGAAATCAGTGGGGAGGTTCCACTCACCCGAGTAGCTTTACCTTAGTGCTGCACTTCATCGCCTGTGTTAGTGCTGAGCCTGGGGCTTGGAGATCATTCGTCTCAACCTGGAACACAGAGAAGCGTGGTGCTTTCACAGCGCAGAGCTGATCCTTCATGCTCTCCTAGGAATTTGTCAAGCACCAGTTCCTTCCCTCTTTGCTGGGGCTTCTTCCTAACTAGACACTGGAAGGAATTCCTGACCTATGGAAAGTGCAGGCTGGACAGGGCTTAGAGTAACCAGCTCTAGTAGAAAATGTCCCTGCCCATGGCAGGGGGTTAGAACTGCATGAGCTTTAAGGTCCCTGCCAGTCCAAACTATGCTCTTATGCAAGCTTACATAGATGTTTATAGTGGTTTCCCCTCCCTCCTGAGAACGCTCTCAACCAGGGTGTTCCCCAAACCTGCCTTCTCCGCAGCTACATGGGGAGGACACAACAAAGCAGCTCCCTGGGAAGCCCAGAGCATCATCAAGAAGCCCAGGACCCTGCAGTAGGGCAGGAGATGAAGACAGGAGCTGCTGCTTGTTGGCAAGAGAGAACCACAGGAGGTTAAGATAACCACAGGAGGTTCTGAGAACCACAGGCGCACACTGTCCTTACAAAGAGAGCTCAGCTTAGCCTGGAAGATGCTGCCCCTCACTTACATCTCAGCTCTGTCTCTGCTGCCCTCCTCATGCTCTCGGAGATGGATGTGAAGATGAACGTGCCTGGAGCTGTGCAGGGAGCCTGGGAATGAACCAGCATCAGCAAACCCCCTTCCTATTTCAAGTGATGTGGGGATGTGGGGACTGTGAATCTCTTTGGGCCACAAGAGAGTGACAAAGCCCAAAGGAGGTCATTATCTCTTCTCTGTGCTGATTAGTTTGGAGAAGAAGTTTACCCAGAGGAGATGACCTCAGTTTAAGCAAGCAACCAGGGCTTTGGGCTCCCTTAGAGCAAAGCACAGAACAAGCCCAGCTTTGACATCCACATTTGGAGCATTTCTGAGGCATGATGGCACTCACCTTCTTCTACCCATCGTGCTGGAAGCACAAGAGAGAAAGGAGAGCCTGAGGGAGCAGTGCCTGAAAGGGGAAGGAAGGAGACGGGGAGGGACAGTGAGGAGTGTGGTAAAGGACTGAAATGGGCAGCACCAGGGGAAAAGGGCTTCAGAGAGATGTTATTGTGGCCTTTCATTACCATAAGGGGCACTGCAGGAAACCTGGAGAGGGGCTTGGGACAAGGGCCTGTAGGGACAGGCCAAGGGGAATGGCTTGAACCTGCCCGAGGGGAGACTGAGATGAGCTCTTAGGCAGAAGCTCTTCCCCGGGAGGGTGCTGAGGCGCTGGCACAGGGTGCCCAGAGAAGCTGTGGCTGCCCCATCCCTGGCAGTGCTCAAGGCCAGGTTGGACACAGGGACTTGGAGCAAGCTGCTCCAGTGGAAGGGGTCCCTGCCTGTGGCAGGGGTTGGAGCTGGAGGAGCTTTAAGCTCCCTTCCAACCCAAACCAGGCTGGGATTCTATGATCCAGGCCCATGAATTTGTCCTTAATACCCAAACATGCCAACACAGTGACCCAGTGACCCTCCAGCTCACTGGCTTTGGGCATGAGTCATCTCTGTCAAGCAAGGCAGCTGATGAACCCTGGAAGGGTGCTTGGTCCCCAAGGACCACTTCTTGCTTTGGCAAAGTGAGCAGCATCACTTGTGATGGAAATAGCTCTGACTGCTTGTGTTGTGAAAGCCTGGATCTCGGGCCTGCTGGAGGGCTTTCTGTGCCCATGCAAGCTTGGTCCTACTCTCTCTTTAAAGACACATCCCTGTCTTCATGACATGTGCAGATCATGTGGTTCTTGCTAATGGGGTGCTTTGTCCCTTCCTGCTTTTGGCCCCTAATAAAGGAAGCTGGGGAAGCTCATTGCATTTCTCTTCACTTTTCAACCTCCTCAAGGACACTTCATACATTGAATTTCTTGTTATTAGTTGCCTTGGGATGGATTTATTTGTGTCTCTCTTTAGTTCTTTACCTGTTAAAAATGTTCTTAAGCTGTTAAACTGAGGCAAGTTGAAGTCCACTACATCCATCCTCCATGTCTGCCTGGCTTTCATAAATGTGATTTTCCTACCATTATGAATTTGGGATTGGAGAATAAGCATGGGAATGGGGTCACCTGACTCAACATCTAAAATTCATTGCCTAGTTATGAGCCAGTCAGGTCCCTTCTAGAATGGATAGAAATAAGAGAATGTTTTATCACATCCTAGGACAGCTGGTGAGGATGGATGTGGTCCAGAGCAGGTCTGAACATCAGAAGGACTTGCACTGTGCACCCTCTCTCCATGGTATGTGCATCCCAGAATAGCTTTCTCTGGATTAAACTAATTCCAGTCAGGATGTGAAGGCCTCCTGGAGGTCAAACTGCATCAGCTGCCCCCCTCAAACCTATTTTCAGTTTGTTTTAATCCAAAAGACAGGACAAGAGGAAACGGCCTCAAGCTGCCCCAGGGCAGGTTTAGATGGAGCTGAGGAACAATTCCTGCCCCAGAGGGTGCTCAGGCATTGGAACAGGCTGCCCAGGGCAGGATCCCCGGGCACTTGATGTGGGAACTTTGGGTCTACAAGCAAGGGTTGCTGCATTTTATAGATCCCTTCTCTGCAAGGATTGAAACAAAATTCGTACAATGATGCTCTCAGTATGAAATGTATTTCCAAACCCTCGAGCCTGTTTCTTGTGTTGCTGGAATTCACCAGGCTGCCTCCCCGGCATCTTAAACTGAGGTTTCTATTGCCAGCTCACTGAGCAGGTTCCTCCACACAAGACTATGGCAATCCAGTCCTCTATGAGTGAAGTAGCATCCAGTCTGGGTAAATGTTTGAACATTTCGGTTGTCTCTGCTTTGGAAGCTTTCTTAAACCCAAGAGGAAATAAGGACACCAGAGTGGGATAATTCATCAAGCAGCGATGAGCCCTCCACATGACACTGCTCATTTAGCCTCCTGTTTCCACAGAAGCTCAGACCAGATGATCTTTTGAGGCCCAGCCTGGGCTTTCTGTGGCTCCATGATTCTATATGCATAGTGTAAGCCAAAATATCCGACAAAATGGAAGAAAACAAGACATGGTGAAAGTTTTGAAGGAAGCTCTCTGATATCAAAGGTGCCAAGCCCTTTAGCATTTAATGATACAGACTCTGGCTCCTTCATTGACTGCAGGTCAAAGCCACGTTGTCCCCACACCTATGACAGTTCATGCTTTCATACTGTTGTTTTTCTGAGCACATAATAATTCTGTTCACCATGCATATACTTTCCCAATACAAGTTAATTCTCACTCACAACACCTAAAAGAAAGAGTGCTCTAGTTACCATCAGTTCTTTGTTCTTTCATTTCTGGTAGCCCCAAAAGTCAATCTTATATGAAATCAGTGTGTTTTGGCTTTATTGAGTGGAATTGCATTTCTCTCACCATTTAGGTAAAAGGTTATTTCAGAGAGCTCTCAATGAAGTTACAAAATCAGTTCTATTATGAATTATTTGTTCTTTCATTTCTGGTAGCTTCCTACAAAAGTAAATCTTATATGAAATAGAACTCACGGGTAAGAGTGAGGAATTTTATTGGCACTGAGGGACAAGGTCAAGAATCCTGCAAGAAAAAGATGTCTTTATCAGTGACAAAAGCTATAACTGAGTAAAGCTGATTGGTGTTTCCTCTGAGGGAATGAGGACTGGGATGACTGAGGGTAATTTCTTCCTCCAGGGTGGTGACTGCGAAGTGAATTGAAGTTTGAGGTTCCTCTCCTCTTGATTTCCTTCCAAGGAAGATGTGATGACTGGGTCTCTTTCTCATTCAATACTGTCACTGACTTTTGAGCAGGAACTGTGGAAGAACGTAAATAAAGTCATGAGGGGTAGTGGAAAATCTCATTGTTTCAGTGCATCGCAGTATTCTTCAGTTAGGATGAACTGTTCATGTCCTAGATGACAGAACTCTTCTATGTTGCCAGAGGTTTAAGAACCTCCTCCTGCACCTCACCAGAGCCCCCTTCACCTCCTTGTTCCTCAGGCTGTAGATGAAGGGGTTGAGCATGGGGGTAACCACGGAGTAGAAGATGGAGGCCACCTTATCCAGGCTCCTGTGGCTAGATGGAGGTTGTAGGTACATGAAGAATGCTGACCCAAAGAATAAGGCAACAGCAGTCAAATGGGAGGTGCAGGTACGAAAGGCTCTGGCCCTGCTCTGTGCTGAGCACATCCTCAGCACGGTGCGGATGATAGAGATGTAGGAGAGCAAAATGACCACACTTGCACACACTGCATTGATGGTGACGAGGGCACAGATGAGCATCTCACTGATGTGGGTGTCAGAGCACACGAGCTTTCGCACAGGTACGACGTCACAGAAAAAGTGGTCGATGCGGTTGGGACCACAGAAGGAACCTCCAAACGTGCACCATGTGTAGATGATGGCACTGAGGAAGGCGAATAGGTAGGATGATACCATCAGCTGCCAGCAGACACGGCTGGAGATGATGGTCACATAAAGCAGGGGCTGGCAGATGGCAACGTGCCGGTCGTAGGCCATCATGGCCAGGAGGTGACACTCGGCACTGCCAAAGAAACTAAAAGTGAGGAACTGCATCATGCAGCCAGAGAAAGAAATGGTTCTGTCCTCTGATAACAGGTCTGCCAGCATCCTGGGGGAGATGACTGTGGAATAGCAGATGTCAGTGAAGGCAAAATGGGAGAGGAAGAAGTACATGGGGGTGTGGAGGCTGGGAGACACCTGCACCAATGTGATAATGCTAAAGTTCCCCACCAGAGTGAGAATATAAATCAATAGAAACAAGAGAAAAAGAGGAGTCTGTGCACAAGGGCTATCTGTAATTCCCAACAGGATGAATTTAATCTGTGTGTGATTTCCTCCCATGACCAGGTGTTACCTGCTGAGGCCAAAGGAAATAAAACATCACACTGATTAAAAAGAGATATTCGGGTGTGGATCTAACCACAGTCAGTCACTAGTTTAACTTTGACGTTTTGGTGGAATTAATATAGTTTACTGTGTTTCCTATTCTACATTATATATGTGTTATTTTTTTCACTTGTGGTACACTAAAAGAATCAGATCCTTGTTTACTTTCAGTTTGGCAGCAATTTGTGCTGGAAGACACTTCACAGGGACCTCATAGCAGTGAATGTAAACCTGGAGCAAGAGAAAGTCCCAGTCCCAGTGAAATCCCATTTTACACATTAATGTCCTCTAGGTATATTGCCTTGACTTTTAATTATCATTCATGTCACCAAATCACATTTATCATACTATTTGAGATCATTCACAACAGATAACATTAACATTGGTTAAATGGACAATAAAGCATCCTAAACACATGGGCCTTAATTTGCTTCCTTAAAAACAGTTGATATTTAAAACTGATTCCAAATTCTGGTTTGTTAGTGATTATATTCTGTTGACAATCTGAAATTTGTGTTTCTTTATAACAAAATAAGTTTCCTCCTCATTTAACACTTGAACAAATTAGTGCATCTGCTTTAGCTGCCTATGTAAAAGAAAGCAAACTGCATAAATCATTGTTCCTTCTTAGTATAAAAAAACCCCACATTGGTAAGGCTATTTTATGACACATCCCCAAACAAGGAGACACGAGGACATGCAGAAGCAAGCCCACTGCCTAAATGCAGGTGAGGCTCTGCTTTGTGTTGGTGTTACCTCCTGTGCCTTCCCTCTGCCACCGAGTGATAGGTGCCAAGGATTTATCCCCAATGCAGCAGAGAACATCTACATACCGGCATCACCTCTGTTAAGCACCTGATGTGAAGAGAGGTGAGCTCCTGCAGACTCCAAGAGCCCAGCTTGTGGTGCTGGGGCTGTAAATACAGTTGCATGTGCTCTCCTGGGAGGAAGCCTCCAGGGCTGCTCATGATTTACCACAGGAAAACAAAGAGAAGCAAAAAGCAAAGGGTGTGAAATCACCTCTGAAAGGCATTGTGGTGCTTGGGCATCTGAAAGACGTGGTGTGGATGAGCCATGCCTGAGCACAGCTGCACAGCAGCAGTGATGAGCAGCTCATAGGATGCTTCTGACATACTTGTGGACCATGCAAATGTTTTGGTCTGAACATCCTGACACAAGGAAAATGGGTTTGGAGACATTCCAGATCTTGCACACGGTCCTCAAATGGGACATGAAGAACAAGTGACTCCATCTCTGGAGCTGCTGATGCTCCTCTGTGGAGGGAAAACCCAGTTTTCCAGCCCCATTAGGGTTACCCACTTGTAGTGCCTACATGTCCAGAGGTTGTGCTGGTGCCTCTGGACTTCCACTGAATTCAAGGGTGAAAAACTGGCATTTTGAGGCAGGGAGGAATTGTCCCAGGCTGAACTAATAGGCCTTTATCCCCCTGAGCAGCCTCAGCTGGGGCTCCATCCCCACCCTCTTCTTATTTTCCCCCATCTCTATTTAAGCTTAGAACAGGCAGATTGAGCTTTACTAGAGGAGTTCTGGTTTCCAGTTTAGTAGGAGCTCAGCACACCTATGCAATCTTTTGGTGGTCACCTAGGGTTTCTCATCTATCTTCCTCACTATTTTTTCACCTGCTCCCAAAAAAGGGACTGACTCGACCTGACTTGGTTTGGTCTTGAATCTGCCTCCTCATCACCAGCTTTCCTGATGCTCTGGAGCTGTGGTTGAACTTGGCCCAGGTCTGTGTTCATGCCCTGCTTCTCTTGCTCAGGTACTTTCAGATGGTCCCTGCACACTGTGGTGTTCTTCTTTAGCTCTGTTTATAGAGATTCAAGAGACAAACCCCTCTGGCAGTCCCCAGGTTCCTGCAGACCAGATCCCATCACCCTCTGCATGCAACAGCCCAGCCAGTGCTCACTGCTCTGGCAGTCCCTCTCCATCCAGAACATGGCCCTACATGGGCAAATTAGGAGAAAGCCTTCTCAATGAGGGGGGGAGAGTAATAAATTGATCCTTACATTCAAGTGTTATTACCTTTTCCTTAGTGCCTTCTCCTTTACCAAGTATAACATTAGACTTTCATTCTTCAGCAGATTGCCAACACTTTGTTTTGGAAGTAGCTTTGGCACGATGTTTATCTGCTGGTTTTGTGACAGAGGACACCAGAGCTTCGCTGACTCCAAGGACTCTGGTTTCCCCAGGCTCTTCCTTAGGCTTCCAGGCTTGGTTTGAAACCATTTCTAAGTCTTGCTTTCTCCCTGTGACTGGTTTGTGCAACAAGACCACAGACAATCCGATTTATCTACACTCTTTTATTGCCTGTAGTTTTTTTCCCCCTCCATCTTGGTCTTTTCAGGTTTACACGACATTAGCACCTGGCTCCTTGCTAGCCCTGTCAGAAATAACTTTCAAAGCTTTCAGCATCCCCAGCTGATAGCTTCAAACCTGCATCATGACCTCTTCTTATTTTCAGGGGCTTCTTCCTTTTCCTGTGATATAGATGAATTGCAATCATAGTAATTGATGAAGTAGATTATTTTAAGAAGAATGATGCATTTCTCTCATTTATGTTAGGCCCTACTCTATGATTTCTGTCCCCTTTCTTACCTAAAGGATAAACCCAGATAAGTTATGTAAAGGTAAGATTTTCTTACTGATTTTTAGTTAGATAAGGTCAAGTTCTGTGTATTTAAGAAGGCAGTCTTATATGCTCAGGTCTATATGAGCCACATTTGAATCATTTGGTATCAAAGGTCTCTGGTTGCCAAGCTCTTTAGAATTTAATTATATGGACTCTAGCTCATTCACTCACCAGAGAGAGAATCCACTTTCCCCCTTAGCTAAGACAACATTTTCTATCTAGTTGCTGTTTGCCAGAGCAAACAAAAGAGACTGTTCACCATCCATAGACTTTACAAAAATTTTAATATTCTTCCTTCAGTCTGGTGGCTGCAAAGAGAAATGAAGTTTGAGACCCAGTCTCCTCTTGGTTTTCTTCCAGGGAATATGTGATTTTGGGTACTAATTTCTCATAAAATGCTGTCATTGACTTTTGTGCAGGAACTGTGGAAGAACCTGCATCTAATCATCACGATTATAGGAAATCCCCATTGTTTTAGTGCCCCATAGGTATTACCAATTGACAGGACTTTCTTATGTTGCCAGTGGTTGAATCTCCCGCACTTCAGCAGAGCCCCCTTCACCTCCTTGTTCCTCAGGCTGTAGATGAATGGGTTGAGCATTGGGGTGACCACGGTGTAAAAGATGGAGGTCAACTTATCCAAGCTCCTGTGGCTAGAAGAAGGTTGTAGGTACATGAAGAATCCTGTCCCAAAGAATATAGAAACAGCCGTCAAATGGGAGGCACAGGTGTTGAAGGCTCTGGCCCTGCTCTGTGCTGAGCACGTCCTCAGCACGGTGCGGAGGATAGAGATGTAGGAAAGAAGAATGACCACGTTTGCACCAACTGAATTGATAGCGATGAAGGCAAAGATGAGCATCTTGCTGCTGTGGGTGTCGGAGCACACGAGCTTTAGCACAGGGGCAGTGTCACAGAAGAAGTGGTCGATACGGTTGGGACCGCAGAAGGAACCTCCAAACACACCATGAGTATATAATGGCACTGAGGAAGGCGAATAGGTAGGATGATGCTACCAGCTGCCAGCAGACACGGCTGGAGATGATGGTCACATAAAGCAGGGGCTGGCAGATGGCAACGTGCCGGTCGTAGGCCATCATGGCCAGGAGGTGACACTCAACATTAGCAAAGAAAGCAAAGGTGAGGAACTGCATCATGCAGCCAGAGAAAGAAATGGTTCTGTCCTCTGATAACAGGTCTGCCAGCATCCTG